GACCTTGGCTGGAGCACTACGTGGAGCCCCGCGGAATGCCCGGAGGTTTACGAGGCTCCTGGGGCGGGGGCGTGGGGGTGGCCCAGGAAGAGGAAGGGAAGGCGAGGGCGGAGGAGTGGGTGGTGGTGAGTATACCGAGTAACGCATTATAGCAAACACTTTCGTTGGGGAAACCGGGTTCACTTAGCGGAAAAATGTCCCTGAGTTTTGTTATTTGTATATACACATATATATGTTAACACTTTATTACAGATACACAATATATATATATAAAGCTTCACTCAAATTGTGTAGTGAAATTGGTAATGTTGTCAAGTAGCTGAGGCTACATAGTACTAAAGTACAAGCCAGTGTTACCAGAAAATTCAGCTAGGCAGGAATGATCACATGAGCATGCAAAGACCATGCACACTGTAGATCGGTCCTACAAGTATATAATTTATGTAATGCCATCTCCACCTCATAAGTGTATATAAAGATATCAAGGTCACTGTACTACATCCCTTTGTGTGTCATTCTCTGTAATAACCATAAACTTCATTTTTGTTATAGGTTGAAAGTATGGGTACAATATTTGTTGTTGAGAATTAAAATATATATATTTATAAAATGTTTCCATTTCATACCTGTTTCCCTCGGTCAGTCATTGCGCTGTCGTCTTGCCTCTTGTTTTATACTCCTTATTTTCAGATAATTCTTATTCTACTCCACTTACTACTTCTTTCACTACCATACAACCTTGCAATGCCATATGAACGTTGAAACCTTTCATATTTTGTTATAATTAAGAACTTCTCTAAACCCCCTTGCACTACAACATAATCTTGAGGAATTTAGCCTTTGACGTGAGATGGGTGACCAAGATGTAGCGGAAGGCTTCATGATAACGATGAACTTTAAGGGGTGTATATTAGAAGGGAATAATTAATATGATGTATAGAGAGAATTTACAAGTGGAGCTGTATTGTGCATGGTATAGTAATCATTTTTATCACCAGAAGCAGTTATATAGTCCGAATGATTTTAGCAAATGAATCCGTTTTAAACCCCCTGGTCCATGGTCGTTGTCGTCGTGGGAGGGGAGGGGGGGGACATACACTGAGGCTCCCGTACTCTGAGGCTTGACCAATTTTGCACGGTCTGCCCTTCCACCTACCCTCGTTCTTTTAACTACTTCCACTTGTACCATTTTTTAGGTTCCTCTTTTTAAGCCCAGCTAAGTGGGCTCGGTTTTTCTTTTTTCCCTACAGCCCCTACTCCAACAACCTTTTCTTCCAACAGTCTCTCCAAAAATAAGTAGACAATTTTTTTTTCGAAGCTATTCTGATCGTTCATGCCTTGTGAGAGTTACATCCGAGTCCCAAGCTTGTGCACAATCTACCGTGACTGACCTTACTGGCAAACCTATTCCTGCCCAGCCCCGCTCTTCCCTCAATACATGTATTGGAACATTTTCCATTTCCTCGGCTGATTGCCATGTCATGTCTACTACAAGGATTGGTCAGTCTTTGAAACGACCTGGCTGCCTGCCTCGTTTACAGTGCTACCCCCCCCCATCAGTGTCAGAAATGTTTAGCGTTTTATCCACCCCTTCAGTTATTGTCGTTCCAGAGCCCCTGCCCTCTGTACCCCACACATAGAGGGCAGCACGCCGTTCAAATAGCTCTGCACAAGCGAGCACGTGTACCCATTACGGTGACCCCCATCAGGTATTTTATAGCGGTGCCCTCCCTACGACTTTTGAGTGGGGAGGATCTTTGGAAACGGAGACCGAGGCCCAGCGTTGGGTAACATTCATTCCTTGGCTCTCGGCTCATTTAATTTTGCTTGGTCTTTTCCTCTTGCCCTTTCCTTTACCTTCTCTTCCTCCCTTTCTTCTGTCCACATCCCATAGTGTGAGAGCCGTGCTAAAAGGACGGAAGGCTGCCTTTGTGTCAGTCCTTACCGGCCTTCGTACTCCGTTTGCTATTTCCTCTTTACCCTTTTCGCTCCCGTACTAACCTACAGCGCTCTGCATTCCATGACGTCTAAAATATTTTGTCTGAATCGTTAACTCCCTTTTAAACTTTTCACCATAATAATTTCATAGCGCTGTATGACCTTTCCTTCCTATGGACTTCGCCCCCAAGTCTCTCGCCCTGTCGCTAAATCTTGAGTACGTCGCTCATGACTTTAGACGTTGACGCGGCAGATTTTTTTCAATTAACAAATAAATATCGACGGAACACCTCAGAACTGACGAGTAGGAAGGGAATGGATGTTCTATAGTTGTGAAATCTTTAGTATGTATGTATATTTAGCCACATGCTTCTCCGCAGAATGAATATACATTTTTTGTAAACGACACACCGGAAGGGCGAGAGGCACGCACTTCCCCTCCCATTGTAACGCAATATTAAAGGGATTTCATTCATTTCATTTTTTAGGAAATGGATTTTAAGCTATTTCCCCAAACAACATATAACCCTACAGATGGCTCTTCTATAAACACAGATGTTTAAATTGTCATGCGAGTCAGAAAGTAAAATAGAAAAAGTTCAATTGGACGTAAACAAATATACGGCTAATCAACACCCATTACAGTACATATCCACGTTTTTTTTTATAAGCTAGTCCTATGACTTAATAGTGTGAAGAATTCTCGAAAATAATATAACAAAGTGAATTGAATCTTTTACCAGAACAAATAGCCTACAAATCCTAGAGAGATTTAGGGAAGCCACACGACAGAGGGTCAAGAACAGCTGACTCAGACGGAAGTGTTTCATAAGTCAGCACTTACGACGAGCGTCTCCCCCCCCCCCTTCCCCCAATCCCTTGCTCGTTGTCGCCGTGGAGGGGGGGAGGGGGTTCAAGAGACGGAGACTGAGGCACTGAGTAGGGGATCACCCCTACACTTGGACCTCAGCCCTCATCGTAACTAAATTTGCAAGATCTTTTCTTCCTTTCCATTTCCTTCTATTCATCATCCCCTACTGTCCGCATCCTAGTGTGATGCGCTGTGCTGAAAGGATAAAAGGCTGGCTTTGAGTGTCCTGAACGGCCTTCGTACTCCTTTGCTCATCTCTCTCTACCCCTTTCACTACCATATTAACCAACAACGCTCTGACACCTAACACATTTTGTCCTGTTCGTTAATTCATTATTACCCTTTTCGCCGCAACACTTTTATCATAGTGCTATGTGACCTTTGATGTATCGCTATATTTTAAAATACGCCGCTAATGACATTCAATATTGGCGCGGCAGAAATGTTTCAATAAATAAATACCCCCAAAAATACAATGCAACATATTTGCATTGGGTATACAGAAGTAAAGAATATGGTGTAAAGAATGGCTCAATAAGTTGTTCATGGAATCCATACAATACTTCGGGAACTACAGAGGGCCATTTGTATGTAGAAAATATTTAATTTGCATGATTCTAGAAAATATTTAATTTGCATGATTCTGAAAAATATTTAAAGAGCGAAAGTAATGTCTATACCTTACCGCCTGTCCTACACATGCGGGCGTGATCGGCGGACAACTGCAAAGGTGATGTCACGGGCGAGTTTACAGAGTAATCTGACCGCCTGTGACGTCATCTGTACTTGTGTGCCCACTCGTGTGGACAGGTCTTTAATAACAGAGGGAGCCATAACATGAGAAACTGCACGGCAGCAGAAGCTCGAGCCACGGGGCACCATGTGGTGATGCTCCTCGGGAGCTCGGGCAATCTAGCGAATTATGATTTTGCTCTGAGATTGGACTCTTGTGAAAACACACACACAAACAAACCTCTTCTCTCTCTCTCTCTCTCTCTCTCACGGCTTGCACACTGATCGGCCCGCTTGTCAGGACAGGCCTTTAGACCCCTTAAATCCAGACATTTTCTAAATTGCACAAGAGAATGACAATGTATAATGCAGGATACACATACACAGGTATGGTTATTATACATTTATTGGATATACATATATATATGTATGAATCAGAAAATATACATGATTTTCAATCAAAATAAAATTCCACTACCTACCCAGTACACAAGAATAATCATAATTTTGGTATTCCATTCACAACAAAAGTTACATCTGAGACTATATCAAAGGAAGAAAAGAGTATCAAAGAGAATTGAAAGGAAAGAATTATATAATAAGGATAAAGTTAATAAATTGCCACTTGCCTTCACTGATTTTGTAAATATGGAGTAAAAAACAACTTCTTGGATCCAATTTTTCCCTAGTTCAAAGTCGACTTAAAACATTGGGAAAAATACCTTACCAATGATTGATTATACACAAATACATAAATCTGTAAAATTAAAACTAAATACAAATTCACCAAAAATGGAAAAATTCAATACAATGGCTCAACAGAATTTTGAGTGATGCAATGTGGGTGTTTCCTCTAATAAGAAGGTAAACTAAAAATGGTTATTACAGCTCTACATATATCACATGGAATCCCTTACACTTTAGGGGAAAGAAGAAAAAATGAATCCAATCTTGGCCTTTTTCACGAGCAACCTTTTTATCAGATAACTACAGACAAAGATATGGAGACATTACAAAACAGTGGATACTATGAACAAAGGGCAAGGAAAAATAGAGAAAAATACCTGTAACTGCCATGTGATATTTTCTTAACCCACAGCATATAAACACAGACTCTTGGGAAAGAACAATGACTTGGTTAATAAAGGATCTGTCCATTAAGTAACACCTCTGTAGAATCAGGTGAGGAAATTGCAAGGAAAGGAAGATCAAGAAAGTTCAAAATTCAACTTGTAATAATTGCAGCACCTGCTATAACATACAACCATGCTCTTGTTTCTTGCGTAGCGTGATGCATCCTAGAACTCACGAGCAACAGAGCGACCTGACTTTCCTCCGTCTAAATGCGTGTCAACAACCACAAAGAACCATGCACAGGTACCATGTTAAGTAACCTACATAGATTAATGACAAAAGAAACGGACTATGATATGAAAGTGAGAGCCAACTTCCTATGATCTCAACCACCAAACCTAATCTTAAAGGAAGGACCAATGCTTGTATGTGTGAATGCTGACATCCATAGCACTCTAGACACATGTGCAGTTCCTAAACAATTTGCATGCCATCCCCGACATTCATCCACATACAAGTTCCATGACTATGATTGGATTATGGGAAAATTAATAACACACAGGGAATGCAAGTTTTCCTAACCTAAGCATTGTATTTAATGCTCTTTATTCTTTATGACTTTTCATACTACATAATTACTTGTGGACCTCTTAGTACATCTTTAAGGTAATCTCCCCCTGAAAGAAGTTTCCATAATTTTTCAATAAAGCTAATTCAATTTCGGGCTAGCTGAGCATCAGGACTCCTTGGTAAAGCAGTGAAATATGTTTGTCACCAAAAATATATAAATATGAAAGTTTTTGCATCCTTAAATCTTTTTATTTTTTCTTCTAAGTCTTGAAACATCAAGATAACAACCATCTGGCTTTGCATTTGTATAAACTAAATAATTCCTGATGTAACACGAGTGATAAATCTATATATTTCTTATAATTTCTATATAACTTCTCTATACAATGATAATATTTAAATACTCCTCCACATCGGACTTGTACCTCTACATTCCTCTGCTCTTGCAAATTCTCAACTCCCACACTCAACAACCTTGTATAGTTATTTCATCCCCAATAAACAACACAACCATAATGTCAATATTTCCCACCAATTACAACCTATTTCAACCACATGGGACTTTTGTAGTACCTTCTTCACTTCTGATTACCGTGGAATAACCAGCTGAACAAACGTCATCTTTGCTTTAAATACACATGCATGCCAAAGATGCAACTCTACAGGTGGATAATATACACAGGGAGGAGCTACTCAACCCCCCCTCCAACTTTCCCACTCCACAGGTACTCCAGGTACTCCAGGTACTCCAGCTACATAAAAGACAAAACTAAAAAACAAAAAAAAGGTAGTGACAACAACGAAGATTTTTTTTTTTTTTACAATGATCACACCCAAGTTCAACTCTAAAGAATGAAACTCTAATTAATTAATAATAATAAAAAAAAATAATTAAAAAAAAAAAAAAAAAAAAAAAACTAATAAACCAAAAGTAACAGCAAAACCTTTGAATCCCAAGCTTGCCATGTCAACGAGAGAAAGTGGTTGGTCGCGAGTGCGATGCATTGAACTGGATGTGCAGAGTGGGGTGTCATCTATGAAATTGCAGTATCTGTTGGATTTGTTAGGGTCGTAGTAAGCACTCTGCGCTGCCTCCTGGGCCTTGGCATCTGTGGCAGACAAATGGAGGTGAGACTAACACTCAATATGTATTTCCATACTTGTTCAATATCTTATCCTTAGGTCTATTACATAGTCCTGGTTCCACAGTTCTGAACCTATACCTGGTCTAATAGCCAATATACTTATTTACTCAAGTGTAACCATTTGCCTCTAGTGCAGAAGTCACAATATCATGTGAACAAATATTACAGTGCTTTTGGATGTATTTGCTGATAAATTAGTTCATGAGATTACCAGCTAAATAATTAATTCACAAGTGAAAAAACACATTGCAAAAGTTTTACAAAAGCAAATGCATTGCAAAGGATTACAAAGTATACTTTGTAATCCTTTGCAAAGTATACTTTGCAAAGACAGTAAAAATGTTGTGGCACTTCCACATTATATATCATGCCATTATCATGTACAATTTTCCAATTTTATATCAAACTTTTGAAATCTGAATGCACTGATCAGACTACCTACAGATTCGTAAAATCCAGCAGTTTTCAATGGAATTTGACCATCGATGGACTTGATCCACTGGACTTTCACCCACACTTTCAATGCGATGGATACCCACTCGTCCATCGATGGACAAATGGAGAAATTGCGCATACTGAGACTATATAGTATGCATGGTATGCATTTTTTTTTTTCCAAAGCATAAATATTATTATATGTTTTAAATTATTCAGAATTATTCATATTCGACTTTACATCAATATTTACATTGAGATTTAAGCTACAATTCAAATGAAAAGTAAAAACAAAAGCACTGACTATGCATTCTCATTTGACTGGCAAATATAAATAAACGCGTAGCCGCCAACTTCAAGTTGAAACCGCAGATTCCCTGAATATTCGAAATGTGGAATTCAGAAGCAATTTACTCCCTCCTAAAAAAGGTTAGAACTCCAGAAACATGAAAGAGTAGCAAGAGTTAGGGAGAAGATGCAGGATTCATAGCAAGTTTCTGTGGTCATGATTTGTTTTAATGCTGCGATTCCACTGGACATAGCTGATGGTACTCTTCGCAGTGTGAACACCTCAGATGGGTGGGCTGGATTCCAGTGAAATTTATGGGTAGACTGACCGTACCTTAACACATTACCAGCAGGTAAATGCACTGTCCACTGTAGCTTTGTTCTGTGAATTTTATTTACATATAGATGGCTCCAAAATTGCTCAAACACCAAGATGTCAGTGAGTTCTACCTGACCTCACTTTAAGTGTTTATTTTTCTATGGCTATCAGTATAAATATTATTATTATCATCATTAGCATAATGTTATCAAAATACTACTAAATAAACTCCAAAAATAACAATAAAGGGTAAACAAGGAAGATAGGCAGAACTTGTAATGGACTCCTTGGTGACTTATCTTTTGTGGAGCCATTATGTGTAAACAAAATTAATAAACTAAAATCACAGTGAACATGCCATGTGCGTCATGACATTCAGGCATCACTTGTTTAAATTGGTAATGTAAAGCCTAACGTGAAAATACACATGAAAATACATGTATCTCTGAGATATTTCCCATTATGATAAATTTTGAAGATGTGAAAAATAGAAACATTGCTGCTTTAGGCTCTATTCACTCTCCACACAAGGCTCAAATATATGCTTCCTTGCATAAACCAATTTACAATGTTGATGAATGCAAAGCTACAGCTCACTCTGGGACACCAACCTGCAGCTGAAGTAGTGAATCCGACAGCCCCATTGTAACCATTGTGGCCGCTCAGCCCAGGGTAGGGAGGGGGAGCCTCATACATGAAGACACCATCCGCTGAAAAGGAGAGATAAGACACGTCACCCATATGTGCTTGATAGACAATAGTCCAATGTCTTGCACATGTTAATAAAGGCATTCACCTGCATTTAATAACAGTAGCATAAACAACGAAAGTAATTATTTGGTGTATGTATATATATTATATATGTATAATATATATATATATATATATATATATATATATATATATATATATATATATATATATATAAATTGCTGTAACTAACTACGTACATCAATAAATAGCACAGGTACTATAAGTAAATAGAAAAGAAGATAAACAGGGCATACCCACGTAAATATTATTGAGTTAAATAAAAAAGTATATTATGAATGGTGGAGTAATGAGTAAAGATAGCAAGAGCATGGAGATGGTATTAAATATCATAAGCCAGGAACCATGAAGATAATCATTTAGAAAATGCAAGGATATTAACCACAAATAAGAGTCTATATGAACTATGTGAAAATGGGAAATTATATATGAAATATTATGTTATCATAGTTTACAGTATAACTTTATTGGGATTCTTACAAATGGCTGTTAAGAATGAAGAAAACAAAATGAAAAGAACCAAAAAAGTGTATTCCAGAAACTGAACAACAAAAGAATATGGAGGAATAGGAAAATGGTCAGGGAAGAGGATTAAAAGATTTAAAAGATTTAGTTTTAATTCCATTTGTTACAATGGATATTCTTTGCTGTGACATACTGTCTGTTTTATTTTGCCCAAATCTACCCGTGTGCAAAGAATGGCCGGGGATGCCACTCACTGGCCGGGCATGGGATTGAACGCAGGTCCGCAAGATTGCTAGACCAGCACCTTACCGCAGCGCCAGCACAGCACAATTTTATATCAATAGAGGCGAAGGAAGCACAATGAAGAAAAACAAAGAGACAAACAAATCATGACAAAAATGAAAGAAAAGAATAAAAGGAGCAAAATTATCACAAGTGAAAAAAAGAACGACAGTTTCTAGGACCCGACTTCTGTTCAAGTCCCCAGCCAGGAGTAGTGTTTCATCTGCGGAAAGTACTGCCATACCAGACCACACATACCTCTCGCTTGAATAACCCCTTGCATAGTACTTCTCGTTTGAGCAACATGCACAAGGCCTTATTCCCTGTTTTTTCCATAGTTTTGTGTTTCATGGCGTATAATTTTGAAGAAAGAATTGAAACTGATTTAATGATTCAAAATTATTAATGCTAGTCTGATAAGACGTCGATGTAAGTGTAGATCTTCAGTTTCAAATAAGCCATTTCTTTTTTATTTGTTTGTTAATAAAAAACTAATTTTATAATAATTAAGGCTAAATGATTTATATAAAGTCTCTAATTTAAATTTTGTCAACTTTATTGTTGTTATAAATATTGATAATTTCTTTACAGACAATAGTTTTTAACTGCATCCTGGAAAGCCCGGACATATCCAAGGAAAAGGACTAGGTCTATTGCTAGGTTATTGCTGACTCTCCTCAATTCCCAGACTTCACACCAAAGTGACACCATTTGTCCAAGATGGCTGCGCTTACAGTCAGACCTGTGCATACCAAGGCCAGTTGGACCACACCTTAACCAAACTTCCAATCACATAAACTTTAAGATGATAATCTAACAGCCTATAACACTTTTCCTTATATGATTTTAAATTACTGATAGAAATCTAGAAACCAAGAGCTGGAGTGATTTCCTTTTCAGAGCCACTACCTACCAACATCCCCAATGAAAGCCAAACCCTGCAGAGTAACAAGAGAAGACCAGAAGCATGCCCTATGTTGAGCCTCACCTGGTGGTCGATCAGGGAAGGTGGCAGTAGGAGGCACCCATCCTGCATAACCTCCTGTGGGTGGGGCATAAGCTGGGGGAGGAGCCTGTGCCCATGGGGCTGATGGGGGGGTGTAAGGAGGTGGGGCATCTCGGAAGCTGGAGTCCATGTTGCGGGTGGCTGCCAAAACATAACATGATTAAAAGAACATTTCTCATAAACTTCTGAAGGGTCCAGTGCCAAAGACACAATGGGTAAACTGCCACAAAAACAAATTAACATCGGCTGCAGACTATATGATCACTCACCGAGAGAGGCGACCTTGAGCATGGCCTGACCAAATTCGATGGCTCCACCATGCTTGAAGGTGAGCTTGAACTTGGCCTCCCCTGACCAGCCTCCATGGGGCTGTGCCTGCACCGTCCCTTTGATGTAGTTGGCTCCGAACACTGGCTGCTCCAACTCAACCTGAGGATTCCAGACAAGATATAGTTCAAAGCTACCTGCTATGGGGTTCTATATTTACTTTGGTGTGTGTGCATGCACATGCAAAAAATGCATTCATTCAGTCTCCTTCTCTTTCTGTCTTTCTGTCAGTCATTCACACACATAGACACAGACCCACAGATACATCTACAAAACACAAACACAATAACATAAATACAAACACACACACAAATAAAAATCATATCAAATAAAGAAATTATCATACTGAATGCAAAGAAATATGCACAGGTAATTCTTATTAACTAAAATTATACAAAGCCAATGAATAACAAGAAATCTAGGAAGCTTTTAAAAGCTTGAAAATATAATTTCTAAACAGAAAAATAACTAGAAGAGCTAAACAAAACAAAACAAAAAGAGAAGTTAAGGATGCCTCACTCCCTTGAGCGAAAAGAAGGGCGACGCGAACGACTGAAGCTTATCCTTGGCATCCTTGTTGTTGAAGATGATGCGGTGTGTGGTGAGGTACAGCCGGCCAGTCTTGGAGCCCTTCATCTCAGGTGGGAGGTTGCCCCCAAACTCCATCGACACATGGTCGCAGAAGAGGATGATGCTGCCAGGAGGAGAAAAGGGAATGTTTCATTTTCTTTTCATTTCATTAGTTATTTGTTAGTATGTGTAGTATGTATGGGCCGGGTGTGTGTGCGTGTGTGTGTGTGTGTGTGTGTGTGTGTGTGGGGGGGGGGTTCAATACAAAACAAAGCATAAAAATATGTAAAAAAATTAAAAACATTTAATGTTTCTTTATGTTTCATTTTCTCTATTTCTAGTTGAGGACAAAGCCTCATAAAAATGGACTACAATTATACAGACTTCCATGGTATTTGGATCAATGCTCGGAGGAGGAAACACCTCGGGTGTCGTTACAGGTAAACATAATTGGGTTGGATCTATAAACAAACTCATTTCTTCAAAGAAAGTTGGGAAAGCATGTATGCATATGCTTCAACTAATGCATATGGGCAGTTTACAAAAATGGTTCTCTTTACAAACTCGGACAAAGTCTACCTATCTTTAATAAGTATTTTCTTTAATTCCTAATGGTGCTGTGATACTAAACCTACACATGAAATTTCATAGATGATGTTGGATGATGATGCACATTAAGATGAGTAAAAATAAAACAGATAATACTTTAATGAGCTAGTTAAAAAATAAAACAGATAATACTTTAATGAGCTAGTTAAAAATGGAACTATTTTAAGTGGACATTACATGGCATGTAGAGAAATATAAATTTCTTTGTTACTTCTGTTGATCCTGTTTAATAGATATGTACAGCCATAAATGTAACTGTCCAGAAGCTAACACTAGTACTTAGTAAATTAGTTTCATAGACTAAGTAAATATATCCTACAGAAATAATAAGATTATCTGTTGATATCCTCTGAAACCGATTACTTGGATGAACTCAAAATATAAATATGGGCTATCTTCTTCTTGTACATGACAAACAAATTCAGTTTCTTGGGAGTAATTTCTAAATGTGACATGAAAGCTTACCATTGCCAGAGACCATGAAGGTGCCTGCCTTTTTTCATGTACCTATAGATCTGAATTTCTGCAATATGTTAAAAATTTTCCATACACGCATCACTATGTTGCTATAGTAAACAGTATTTGAATATAGTCGGTTTCATATTGATGGCAGGTAATCAATGACTTCCCATTACTGCTCCTCACTTGACTTGTCTATACAAAACCACAAAACCTCAGCTCAAGTGCGCCCTAAGGATTACAATGGATCGAAAATGTGCTGCAAACAACTACACAGTGTCTTTTGCAGGTAGTCAACTACTTTGCAATAGCATGGATCATGTCAATTGTACACAATTTGATCTCAGATATTCTATGTGCATTGGCTCATGAGAAGACAATCTTTTGCCTGTAAAATAACCTGGGGGATATCTTGAACGTGGACATTTCGATGAGCAGTGAAAATTATGGCATGTTTTCTTGCTATAACCTAGCCTAGCCCGTAAAAGTATCTTTTAGCATAACACACTGTGCGGTCTCACATAACAAATGATGTTTTTGATGTAAGTCGTGTGTGGTGCCAGAATATGGTAGGCAAAATCAATTAATGCTTGAAATTGTTCAGCTCATTATTTTTCATTATCTTCAGATACTGTTTCTTATGACGCATCTTTGCATGTCTCAGTCAATAACTCATAAATAACTCATAAATAACTGATGATGTTGATAACAATGAAAATAACTATAATAATAATAGCAATAATAATAATAATTAACAAAATTCAAGCAAAAATTATAATAACATGAACAAAAGGACATTGAATATAACCATTACATTTTTGGTTATTTATGAAATATGAAAATACTGAGGGGTTTTAATGTGTTCCCTTATTCTTGTAAGGAGTTAAGAATTTTTTTTTGCTTTTCTTTGAAAATTAGTGAAAATTTGAAGGCTTACATCTTCCAAGGTATGAAACGTTAAGAGGCCTATTCCTCTCAAATGAATATCATGAAATTCATACTTGAAGTGAAATTGATACCTTATAAATTAATTACAAAACAATCTTCACCTAAGATATTTCCTTAAAAATGTATAGTTTGCATAATATCTTGAAATAAAAAAAAAGACAAAATCTGTATGGAGACTCATCCTCTTAACGGCAAGTAAACATGTTTCCAAATGATTATGATAAATATTTAGAAGAGGACCAAAAATGGGACTATTTGAAAAACATATTGGTTAAATTCAAATCAAATCAGATCATAAAATACTGTGAGTTCTAATGGATGGCCTACAATATAAGTAGCTTTTTATCAAGTAATTGTTGCTGCTGCTGGTATCAAAACTATGGGTATGTATATACTGTTTTCTGGCAAGATAGGTATGACTGGTCTCGCTGGAATGTGTGTTGAAGATTTGCCGCCTTTCCTGAACTTTTTATCCCTCCCACCCTTTTCTACTGTTACATAACCCATTGGATCCGGGTGCCTCTCAGTGCGCTTGGATAAGTGGCAACTCTCCCAGGTATGTGGTTTGTAGGCCCAGCATTTATAAACACTCACCCATGGTATCAAGCATCTTGCCTCTTTTTTCCAATGCTATTAGCCCTTTTTCCGCAAAAATATTTTTGATGTTTTGCCATTTTTCGAGGGTGTAATCTTTTGAGCTGTATCAAGGGGAAAATACTGACTTTGTTATTCAGGGTCCATAATATCTTTCCACTCTGTTCAATAATAATTACAAATGGTAATATTGTCCTATTTCTGTCAATGATCCCTGGGTCAATTTCTTCCCCAAGACGAGATGTTCCTGTAAGCCCTCAATCAATTTTTTTCATGACAAGATGACCACATCATCTGGATCCAGTGGATAAAACCCCTCATAAACTGAAGAATTATCTGACGCTAACCAAAGGATCTTCCAATCCTTCTTAACATTGTAATATCAATAAGGTTACTAATGGTAAACATACACCTGTATATACCCTATATTTCTGTTACATTTTCCCCTTCTGTACTTCTAAGAATATAAAGCTTTGACACAAAAGGCAAAAATAGGACCACATAATATTTCCTACTACTACACAGGCTCTTTGGAATCTCATAACTACTTTTTTATGCAAATTTTTATCATAAAAAGGAAATGGGTAGGATTCAATAAAATATGTGGTCGAAAGCATCCTTGGCTTTGACAAAATCCAAACACTCAACATATCTATATCAATCATTCTATAATCTTCATGGCAGCTGTAGGTTCCTTTTACACAGTAACTGATAATCATTCAATATCTGCACAACTCTAACCTGTGACAGATAAAGAAAATAGTGACATCATAGCTCTGTGATTATTAGTACAACAAAGTTGAATTTGACACATTTTATCCTTATCACACATATCAAGAGTGGCCATTTATTTGATTCATCAAACTATAAGAAACATAATTCCATAAACAAAAAACAATCATCTATGGTTTCTTTCCTTGCCCTCAAAGCTTCCACCAAGCATCCCAAGGTCGCAACTGATCAATACTAACAATCAATACCAGACTTCCCACACACTTCTCTCTTCTCCAGAACCTGAATACAAAATACCAGCCATTAACAGTGTTAATGGAGACTTATACTGTTCAAGCTGCAAAAAATGTACACATCTGGTCCCTAGCTTTTCTTTGGCAACTATTTTCACATCACAACAATTACACTGCCAATTTGGGGCATTTGTTCCAGATATACAGTGCTACTTTCTACATTCTTTAAAATTTTCATTTTCCTTACCATTATTTTCAAGAATACCACAATTACCTTTAGACATAGAACCATCTACAATAACTACTGGTATAACCATAATAATTGCTTACTCAAGAACTATTATCTTAAACTCGACTGGTCCGTTCAAGTTCTTGTCATACTGTGTATATCACAGTCATGAGCAACAATTAAGTTCCCATAAATTACCGCAAAGAATATTTCATCATAAATGTTTTATAAACAATCGGAAGTGAAGGCCATCAGGTTTGACAACAGCATGCACAACACTATTCTTGCCACTCAGTGTCCACAAACAAAAATTATCCTGGCTGTTACAGTTATTCCTTGGGTTAGTGTGTAGGTGCTTTGGTATCATCTGCTTCAAAAAGCTTACTGCATAACAAGTCAGTATTGTACAGCTGAAGTTAATACCTCAAAGCCTGGTGCAAATATTTCAGTAACTTCTAGAATATTTTGAAACCCATCCAATTTGGTATCACTGGACTGCTTATGATATTTAGTATGTATTCATAGTGGTTTTGGACAGTGGTAGGCTACAATAGTAACTCAATATACGAGGAGGGTATGAGCTATCATCGGAAAATGGCACAGTTAGATTATACATTAGGTTAATATTTATTGTCTATTCAACAACTTAGGTTGTTGAATAGATTTTGTGATGCAGAGTTGGGTGTCTGGCGAGTGTGTCTACTGTAAAGATTTACCATACATCATTTAGGTATTTCTGCTACTGTTTTAGGGTTGTGTGCCCTAAAACTACCCTTTGGGGGAGGGGCAGGGGTTGCTGCCTTTCATCCTCTACCTGAAGTGCAAAATCTCCATCACATCTGACCTGAAAGATGGAGCCCAGACAGTTGTAAGTGATGCACATTATGCATGACGTTACAAACCAGCTGAGGTAAAGGTAACCTTCTCATACTGTACTAGCTACTGCAAAAGTTCTGGGAGTTTTCAAATGTTCTTATTGTGCCTATTTGAAGTCAACCTGCTACATCTAGTTAGTAGACACTGTTAGTTCATTATTACCAAACTTGAGAATGAACAACTCTCCCTGACAATGCAGTGAGCCTCTGTTGTTGTCTATCCATATCAATATGTTACTGATTCATTCAGTCATGTGTTCTTGAAATTTAGGGAAAATCTAAGGACACTGTCAGTGAGAGAGAGAGAAAAAAACACTGATATGTGAAATAAATTGCACATGCAAAAAAATCAAAAACATAGAAAATAAACTATGAAAAATGCCAAGCGGAGGCTAAGTTCATGATGATCAGGTGGGGGTCCAGAGGTGGAGCCCCTGACTAGGTAAAAGGGGCAACTGGGTGGAGGTCCAGGGTAGGAAGGTTTCAGGTTTAGTTAATCTCTACGGTATGGACACACTAAGGCAAGGCAAATTGAAGATGATATTCCTGTAGAGGACACAAAGTTGTAACCATTGATACAAGAAATAATTTGCAGACACAAACTGTAATGCCAGAAATAATGGAAAAATTTCGCAAAAAGAGCCACTCACATCCTGAGTATACTTTGTGCTCCCGAGTTTCAGCTCCATCTTGCTATGAATATCAAGGTGAAGACAATGTTGCCCAAGGGGTTTTGGGGGTCAGAGCCCCCTATCAATACTCCCCTTAGGCAGTGCCCAAAGGACACGCCTGGTCACAGCTATTTAGATTATTGAATAAATATTGTGACGTGAAGTTTGAGACAGTCTCTGGCGAGTGCATCCATACTATAAAGAATTACCTCAAGTTCATATAGTGATGTTTGTGGATTTCTAGGAGTAACTGGGACTCCGTCTTAGGGGGTGCTGTCACTTTGAAAACAATGACTACCAATACTCCTGTCCCAAAGTATCAGAAAAATAATTTCCTCCACCTTTGTTGTAACATGATGCAACTATACTGTATCAAACCAGAATGTAGATTATTTAACTGAACAGAATAAGGGTTACAAAAAATATCAATCTTCTTGTAGTTGGATGAAGCAGCACTTTCTTTTCTATGGCCCAAAATACAGCTGACATCAACAGCCGAAGGGACTGACACGAAATGAGCGAATTACAAAGTAAACGAACCAGAAGATTGAATCTTCCTTTCAGAAATAAGTAAAAGTGTAGGAATGAATAAAATCACAATTAAATACTGACTAAACCCATATGTAAACCAGTAAACCATGGCCTGCAAATTGACATCGATGCTAAAAGTTTCCTACAGCTTTGCGGATTCTGGAATTCGCAGGAAAACTTTATTTCTTCTTCTAACGGCAAACGAGAAGTGAATATGTCTTTAGGTCTATTATCAGAAGATATATTTGCAGAAATATGGTCGAGATAAGTTTCAAATGAAGATAATGTCTTCTGTGAACACGAAAATATCCGACACACCCACCACATTTTCAAGACAAATGTTTCTCCATATCAAAATCCGACTTGCTTATTTTTCTGCGTGTGCGTACTCTTAAATCCTTCATTTCACTAAAATATAAACTTTGGGGTGAAACAAATGCTAACTCACCATTCTCCAGCGTAAATAAGGACACCTTTCCCTGCGTGTGCACTGTTCAACGCCATGTTGACGACTGATTATGTGACGCCCTGCGCATTTTACAGGAGTGTCATCTTAGGTTGTCTTAGTATCCGGCCACAGGTCTCCATCCAACAGGAATTATTATTTGTATAACATTAATGATTTTTGTAGTGTTATTATTCTTAAATTTTATGCTAAAGTGTTTTAAAACTCATTGGGATAAAATTGTTAGGCTGAAACTTCTGTTATCCATTATCCTAATTTATCTATTGCATAACTATGTACGTATCTGATGTTATACATTCTCCAATTCCGGTATCTATACCAATAATTAGAAATGGCTTGCAAACATCTGCATCACATATTATTCCTGAATTCATACTACAGCATCTGAAATGAGATTATGTTATGTATTCGAAAGGCCCTAGATTTGGCATCAATTTAACTTTAAAGATTTATCCCTGTAATTTCTTAGGCAATATAAATATTGTGTTAAATAAGAATGATGATTAGAATACTTTAAAGTAGTACACCACTAGTGATAGAGAATGTCAATCCCATGTTTTTCACAGAAACTCCAATGACGCTTGGAACTCAACACAAACGAACAACCTTCGTCAGCTGACAATGACGTCTTGAACTTCCGGAAAATACTGGAAGAACGTGCTTATTGCGCAACATATCCTTAACTAAAAAAGAACATATGAAAAATAACTTATATATGTGTTCAGCTCATGCCATATAACCGTATGATTTTAACAAAGCAGCTGCAAATTTATGGTCTATATAGGCTCAATCTTTCCTGAAGAGATAATGGTTATGAATCACTCATTGTCCTCGACGTCACAATCCCTCCTTATCAAATCGATCAGATGATGCATATCCCTGAAATATACTTAATAACACCTGTTTGCATGCTCAATTAATGCAGGTAGTTGAATGCAAAGCACCCTGGAAAATTACGCATAGGAAGAAAACAATGTACACCAGAAAAGTAAAATTGCATAAGAAATAACAGGAACTTCATGGTATTTAAATAAGCATGAGTAAAAACTTATCATAAATATAATTCAAAATGAATATCAATTTAAACTTATAGATATGTAGAGCGGACGTACATTAAAGTAAACAAAAATGTTAAAATAAACAAGAAGCCAATAACAACAAGAATGAATCAATCACGCTAAAATATCAAGAGGGTGAACTATTATGAATAGCTAAAGGATACTCAAGAACGTTCCAAAATGAATTTAAAGTATGAAGAATTAAAGAATGAGAAAGTTCGAAAAGTGAAAATTATTCTAAAAAGAAACATTGCATCATTTTAGAGGATTAAATAAACAAAAAGGAAAATTTAATACACCATAACGAATGCAAAAGATATCAGGAAAGAATATTACTTATCAAGATGAAAGTAGAAAGCAAATTAGAAAGAAATATATATGTATTTGAATATCATAGAATATTTGAATAATCAGTTATCATGAAAACGATAACTTTAGTATTTCTAATAACGGACAATGTTGATTTCTAGAATACTTATTTCAATTATTATTATACCGACTATCGTGAACCATGTTGTAGGCAATGGTTGCCATCATCAATGTTATTATTTATATCATAAATTGATCATTACTATTCTCATCATTATCATGATTATCGTTATCATTAATGATGAATTTTATGATTGTCACCATCATGATCATTAATATCATTACTGTTATTATTCAGTATTATTGTAATTATTGTTATCATTATCATTACCATTACCATCGTCATTATTAACAATATTATCATCATCATTACTATAACTATCATTATCTCGTAATATAATCATTAGATTAGTTATTTCATTATCATTATCATTATATTATTATTAGTTAGATGTATTATCATTATTTATTATTTTATTATTATTATCATCATTATTATTATTATTACTATTATTATTATTATTATTATTATTATTATATTATTATTATTATTATTATTATTATTAATTATTATTATTATTATTATTATTATTACATTATTATTATCAATTATTATTATTAGCATTAGCATTAGCATTATTATTATTAGCATTATTATTATCATTTCATCATCATCATCATTATCATTGACACTTCTTTTTGTCATTAGTATTATCATTATCAATGTTATCATTATCATTATCATTATTACTATTTCCATCATCACTAACATTGTTGTTATTATTATCATTATCATTATCATTATTATTGTTATTATCGTCACTATCATTATCATCATTACTATCATTATCATTATTATTATCATTACTATCATTATCATTATTACAAATATTTTTGTCATTATTATTATTATAATTATTATCATTGTTATCATTATCATCATTACCATTATTTTTATCATTATTATTATTACCACTGTTATTGTTATAATTCTTCTTATTATTTTTATCATTATTATTATCATTATTATTATATATCATTATTTATTATCATTATTTATTTATCATCATTATTATTATTATCATATTATCATTTATTTAACATTATTATCATTATTATTATTATTATTATTATTAATCATTATTAATTATATATTATTTATCACGCAGATATTATGAGACAAGAAGATTACAGAGAGAAAATATCACAACCCCCCCCTCCGTACGCAAGCAAAGACAGCGAATATACCTTACCTTTGCAGGAACACACGAGAGTAATACAGGCGCAAAAGAAGTGTCCCAAGGCAGGTAGTGTACCGGCACAGAGAGAGAGTGTACCAGCCAAAGCATTACCGAGGCCCGGCAGCGTTGGCGGGTACTATAACTCCGTGCTGCAGCTGTGTGCATTAATTTGGTGCTGGAATACCATGGTGCAGGCAGTAACCGCTCGCATTCCGCCATACTTGATGGTTCAATTTCGGGTAATAGTTAGTTTATAACTTGCGGTCCCAGAATGTATTGATTCGGCTCGGCAAAATTTTTAATAATTGAGTCAGCAAATTTTTACAGCCTGCGTCGCGTTACACAGAGGTTTCATTATGGAGGATGGTTCATTCGGCGGCACTCTCGATCACGCCGGGAGGGCCAGTGCCAGCTCCTGGGCCGTTGCGAACACCTGTCCGGTAAGCAGCGTTGGCTAATTACGATGACGATAGTTTTCATCATCATTAGCATCGTCGTTACTGAGGTTATTACCACCACTGCCGTTTCATTGTCGTTATCACTATCTTCGCCACGCACTTCATTATCGTTCATTCGTGATGAGAAACTGAATCGTAAGCCTTAATCGAGATTAATTACCATTACTGCTGCATGTGACCTGCCTTTACTGCACCTTCACAATGCTGGGGTCATTACACATGCATTGCCACCATACGGCTAGAGTATTGGCAATATCTACCGTCGGCATTCTAATATCTCCCACGCAATACCCTCAGTGACACATGGAAACTACAGTCAATGGTTAAAAAGAGGTAAAAATAACAATTACAACCCATCTTATGCTAACACTGCCAACCCACCCCGACACAGTGACACCAGACGGATACCAGCAAATACCATTACCAACACCAGACAGTTAGCAACGCAAGCCATTACCAACACTTGGCCATTATCACCAGTAAGCCGTTAGCCTTGCCATTTGTGCTACAGTATGCTTGGCGTAGCCTATTGCCGGGATAAACTTGAATCCCCCCCATTGGTTAGGTTTATCGCCACTAAAGAGCCGAGTTCGGAATGGGATGCCATTGTGAGCTTTCGTGGGAGAGCATTGTATGCTTCAGGATGCAGTACATGGAGCGACAATAACGAAACTGCCTCATTTTTGGGAGACGCTTCTTACGAATGTAAATATTTCCTCGGAGCCTTGAATAGAAAACGTGCGCGGGGTTGTCCTTTTTTTCCTCCTCTGTTTTTAAGGGGAGACTTAAAAACAGTGCGAGGCGGTGCAATGGCACTACTATTTGATTCTAATGGGGAGGAGGAGTAAGGGAGAGTCGAGCGTGTGCGCTGGGAGAGCTAAGGCTGCCTCTACGTTGAACATATTCTTATTGATGAAAGCTACATTAAATGAAAGCTTCAGGGTATGCAGATATGCGAACGCTAACAGCCATTGCCAGTGAGTGCATGGTTGCTTGTGTATGTATGTCCCTGTTATGTGTACTCGGTGTGTGCTTATGCGTGTCCAGTAAACTGTGTGCTTGTAGGCGAAAGGGTGATCACTTGGGCGTGTTATGTTTTTTCTTTCTGGTCCAAACTATTAACATTTCCGAACGAGTGAAAAGCTGTGGTATTAATTCTTGCAGCTTTGTTATTTCTCCTTATTTGATAATCTTGCAAGGCCACCTGCTGGCTGTTCATTATACATTCTAGGCAAAATGTGTTTGAGTTTACATACTTTCATACACATATATGTAGTTTACATTCATGCATAAACGCTGTAAAGACTTTCATGCATACATTTATGAGTAGATATACATATACATACATACATACACATATATATATATATATATATATATATATATATATATATATATATATAATATATATATATACACATACATTTGTAAATACACACACACACACACACACACACATATATATATATACACATGTGTGAGTGTGTGTGTAAGTATGAGTGGGTTTCTGTGTGCGTATGAGCGGGCCTGTGTATGTTTGAATATTCCTTAATCATCTAGCCTTTTTCCCACTTTTTCTTCTTTCTCTTTCTTCTCTTCTCTCCGCTTCCTTTCTCCCAGTATTATATCGTCTCGTAAGGAACCCTGTAAGTGGTTCCAGATGTCATTTACTTTACAGGGTACTTAAGAGGTACTCAGCATCCCAGCAGTTACTTTGTTACTTGCAAAGTTTCTGTACGACTGGGGACGGTATATGTGTATACTGCTGTCGTATATTTAAGAAGTTTGGAAATTTGGCTGATGCTTTGAACAGTTTAAAAGATTGTGCTTTGTTAATGGGAATTGAATATCTACTTTTGTGTGTGTTTATTTGTTTGCACACACACTCGAACATACATAGACACACACATAGATATAGCCATATATATATAAATATATATATATATATATATATATATATATATATATATATATATATATATATTAAATAAATAAATAAATAAATAAATATAT